TATCCATTCCTTCACCTTCATGTCTATACCCACATAATTAAATTCCAGTCCCCATGTCCACACTATCCCAGCATGCTGCATGTTCATCCAGTCAAATCATCCAGACAGTCAGTCAGTAATTCAGTCAGTCAATTAGGCCCGGGTAGTCCATCAGGCAGTCGGCGTGGGTGGGAATAAAGCCGACAGGTCGGTCAGCCCCGTGGGGGCAGACAAACACGACACGGTCCGTGCCGCCTCATTTGTAGGTTAACTGGCATGCGTGGGCGGCCAGTGTGTTTATATATGTATATGCGTGTGTGCGGACAGGCGGAGCTACAAGTGAGTGACAGCAGTGTAGGCGGTGGGCTGTGTTTTGATGGCCGGAGAGCACCCCGGGGAAGGTGACAGTGTGTGTTTAAGTGCGTGTGTGTCTCTGTGAAATTGAGTGTTGCACATATGTAATCAGCTGTGGTGGCATCTAGAAGGTTCTCAGCAGAAAATGTCTGTGGGTGGACAGGCTCTTTGTCAAACACTCTGTTCCTACTTAACCTGAACAAGGAGACCACCAGGGCAACAAAATGACCACTAGGACTGAGAGCCAACCCCTGTGACAGGAGGTCGCCTTCAGTCAGGATGAAGACCGAAGACTTCAGTGATTGCGCTTGCCTTGCTTAAGATTACTGCAGAAGAAAAAAAGTCATCAGAAATGTAACATTACCAAATCATTACCAGTTTGTACCTTCCAAATTAGGATCTGGGATTCTAGGATTAGCCTGCCAGACAGAGGATATTGCACCTAGCACTTAAATTCGCACCACTTTCACAACACTGATACTTCATGTCACATAGGATGCTGCTATTCATTCATCTCACTGTCACCTGAGTTTGTTGTGAAAAACAAAAAGCAGAATAAAAGGGCAATTACAGGTCTGCAACTTCTAACATTGAATATACAATATGACCAATTAAGACAGACAGGTACGTAGACAGAACAGTTGAAAGATCACAAAGCTTTCTATTATTTGACATTATGGTAAAAGGGTTCCTGATTTGGCTCTTAGAGTGATCTAAATCTGACCTGAGGTCACATCATGTATGCCTAATGATTTACTTTGAAAATATTATCCTTTGTACTTTCAAACTCCCTCACTTGTGGAATAATTAAACCCAAGCCTTATGCTTATTTAAGTATGCAACGTGTATAAAGCTGCAGTTCTTATTATTTAATGTCTTTTATCCACTTTTCAAAGCTGCAGGTGGTCAGCTAATGCTTCTTTTGTTCCAGACGTTCCAATTACTGGACCGCATGCAAAAATATGGATGATAAAATGCTCCAACCTCCCTCCACAATTTATGTCAAAGTGCCTTTAAGCACAGTAGTTAACCCAATACTCCGTTGTAGAGGACTGTGGTTGTAATGGTAACAACATAATCCAGCCTGTGTTTGTATGCGCGTGCACAATTTTTCCTGTACAGCAGTTAACCTACAAATTAAATAAGTATGTTTGTTAAGTTATACCTGGTTAAATGAGAAAACAAAAATCTTCCTTCTGGATTACTGACATCAACCCACCTGTTCATATTGGCATACCATTAGTGGCAGGGATAACAAGACATGAACTAACTGGTACTCTCACACACATATGCACAAGACAGATGGAGCAGGCACATAATCTCTCATTCTTACACACACACACACACACACACACACACACACACACACACACACACACCACCCCC